CAACAGAGCCAAGAACGCCAACAAGACCATCTTGAAAATGGTGATGTGGCAAGGAAGTTGGTCAAGATCATCCATATAACCTCCAAAGTACTTGCAGTTTTATGTAGACAGGATGTATGGGTTCATAAAAAAGGTCTATCTTGAAGGAGTGTGGTGATCATCTATGTGTTTCATTGACGTCTACTAGAACAGTGTATCCAGCTATGATAATAATGTTTCAAAAGGAAATGGAAGGTGATCCATGGGCTTGGGGAAAGGTCTGGCAGTGTAGAAGTTTGGAAGTTGAATTTATTTTGTGAACTGGAGACAAGGCTGAGAATTGACCTATTGGTCACTGGTGTGGGAGAGAGGCAGAAGGTTTCAGTGTCACTGACACAAGCATAACTAGTTCAAGTGCTTGGAAGGAAAAAAAAAGTGAAAAATCATGTAAAGCAAGGGAATAGAATCTGAATTTATACTCTGATATACAAAACTGAAAACAAACTTCTTTCTTAGAAAAACATTCTGTCTCTGTCAAATTTTCCCTGCTCTTCTCTGTGTTTCAAAATATATAATTTGTAATAAAGCTAAGAGCAGTATTCCCTTGCTTTATGTGACTAATAAGGATACTTCCAGGAAGCACCTTCAGAGGCCTTCTGTGGTGTTTCCTCACCTCAGGTCTTCACATTATGTTCCAGGACACTGATTGCCAGAAAATACTAAGACTCAGAGCTTGTGCTGGCCATTTATGAATTGGGGAGAACTTCTTTCTTGTATAATTTGACTTCTAAATCTTTTCATTTTCTTTTTTGGAGATCACTGGACCACTTCAGGGAATATTGTACTAAATACAGTTGGTCTGTACCTTCACATGCTGCAGAGACACATCCTTTTATTTTCCCAGAGTGGCTTCCTTGCTCACTGCATCATGTAATGACTGGGAAACCGTTTTATGCCAAAACAAATTGACAGGGATATTTTTCCTTATCTTCTGTAGTCTGGGAAACAGGGTGTCACCTGCAGGAATTAGTTACTTCTCACCTAAGTGATTTCCTGCCATCTCTGTGGATCAGGAATGGTGATGGCACCTTGCTAGTCTCTTCTCTCTACTTCTTTTGGCATTCGATTTCATTTTCTAGATTTGAGGCATTTGGCCTAGTTAAGTCTTGAATCTTGGCATAAGTATACCTGGGTGAAATGTAATGGCTGTGATAGAAAGGAGGTCATGCTGAGTGATCTAATGTCTTTTTACATTAACCTCCAGTCATGTACATCCTTCCCAGACACATCAATGTTCCAGGAGATTCACTCAAATTCTAATGCAGAATTGTTAACATAATCCTTTCACTCAAAGTCACTGATACCTTCCAGACAGTACGTGACAGTATAAATGTGTAAAAATAACTTAAAGTAAAAAATATTACTTCTTGCAACATAAACTGAAGAAATAGTGCTGACTTCAATTTTATATATTAGACATTTTTGCTTAGGACATGTGCAAGCTGTTAATTTTACATCTTAGCAATTATCACCGAGTAATCACAGGTCTAAGAATTAATGTTGCACTGCATCTAATGTATCTTTAAAATCTGGGTAGTCTATTTCTTTTTTTCCTCATGGTGTCACTATAGGATAAAGTTAATGTTCTTTGGGTAGCCTCTATACTGAAAGATATTCAAATTTCCTTTAAGTCTCTCACAGAATTTCTGTTTTTTTCTAACACATTTTTATAGTGGGGGACCTCAAATGCATTGCCTTGAAAATCAAATGTGTTATCTTGGTCATTAACTCATCTTTATGTTGCGATTTTCCTTCCTTCCTTCCTTCCTTCCTTCCTTCCTTCCTTCCTTCCTTCCTTCCTTCCTTCCTTCCTTCCTTCCTTCCTTCCTTCCTTCCTTCCTTCCTTCCTACATATCACATATTCTTTGGTCCTTAACTCATCCCTTCCTTGCCTCCTTCCTTCCTTCCTTCCTTCCTTCCTTCCTTCCTTCCTTCCTTCCTTCCTTCCTTCCTTCCTTCCTTCCTGCCTTCCTTCCTTCCTGCCTTCCTTCCTTCCTGCCTTCTTCCTGCCTGCCTTCCTGCCTTCCTTCCTGCCTTCCTGCCTCTTCCTCCCTTCCTCTCCCTTCCTGCCTTCCTCCTTCCTCTCCCTTCCTTCCCTTCCTTCCTCCCTCCCTTTCTTCCTTCTTTCCTTCCTTCCTTCCTTCCCTCCCTTCCTCCCTCCCTCTCTTCTTCCATTTATAGTTGCATAAATTATTTAGCTTTGGATAAGGATCTAGATAATTTGGCCAGTTCTTGTAAGAACTTGAAAGTAGAAATTGCCTTCCTGCAAAAAAAAGAAATAAAAACCCACACAATGAACAAGACATACATCTAATAACTATACATGCTTATGATGTTAACTCCATATTGTATTTTCTTTTATAAGAGGAGGAAATCTAAATCCACCCTTACTTGCCTAAGGTAGTCATATATACCTACCTAAGCTTCACTTTTTATTATGTCATTCTAAAATGTTTCGAATTCAGCTTCACCGATTGATGGAGTAAGTAGCTGATCTTTTCCAAGCTCTTGGTGGCAAAAATAAAAAATATTTCACTTATATATTTGTAGTAATTTTGTCTGTCTAGTTCTTCCCATTTTACCCAGACATACAATCTCAAACACACCTAGATACCTGACTGACATGGCTCTTTATGAGAATGAAAGATACGGCGGTCGTGATTGCATTGGCTAGGACTGAAATTTCCTGTGGTACTGCACAGGTGAGGGAGCCAGTCATAGAGCTGCAGGCTCCAAGTCATGCGTTTTGGGCATATCCTTCCTCACGGCAGAGATCATAGACCTTTTCTCTGATTTTCTTCTGCTTCTTCAGTTAGACAGTAGTGTTTGACTGCATTCAGGATTTTAATGAGTATGAAAGTGGCTCTCTAGTCAGCACGAAGAAGATCAGCCACCAGTTCCACAAAGTCTTTTGTCCTATCTGTAGCTCTGTCTGCAAGTGAATCTGGTATGTTTGTTTTGGGCAGCTGACCTTGTTTTCAGCCTCCAGCTGGTTTGAGTTGTGAGTTTGCAGGTATGATAGCTAACTAGACCCAGTGTATTCAAAGGTGGACTTGGTTGCAGCAGGGCCAGGGATGGTTAAGTGTGATGGCTTAGCAAACTCTCCCTAAATATGTTATGGAGCACTGAGGGATTGGAGAACTTTCGTAAAGTAGAAGCCTGAGCAATATCCCACTTATGACTCCCAGTGAGCTGAAAATCCTGTCAGTGTTTCAATCCTAGATGGAGTCCTTTTCTCTTCTGCTCTCTCCAGCTGGTTCTCTACATGAGATAATGTATCTCTCTCAGCTAAGTGCCCCCATTTTTGTACTGTCCCTAGTCCTTGTGCTATGGCTTTCACCTACATGATTTTCACTGCCACATGGTTCCTGTTTAGAGACAATTGTTCTGTGGGCTGGTAGTTTAGAGATGGTTGAAAATACTATTTCTAGATTGTTGTCTTGATGACATCTTAGACATCATCCTGCAGTGGGGTGTGAAGCAGAATAGCTGAAGGGAAAACTGAAAGAAATCTAGGGCAAAATTAGATATGAGTTCAATACCTGTCATAAACTGCCTGTTCTAGTCTAGAATTGGAGATAAAAAAACATTTAATAGGTGTATATGGAAGTTTATTATCTGTCTACTATTCAGCTTGCTTTGCCAAAGGACTGACCCAGTCTTCTTATGACCTTCTAATTCCCTTTGTGGAGGTCATCATCTGGCCATGCCAGTTTTTTGACACTGAGATGTAGCAGCAAAACTCCACGCAGAACCTTGTGGTTCTGCAGGAGCAGCAGATACTTATACCCTCATACTTAGTGGCAGAACAACAGAAGCAGTTATGCTGAGTAGCTGCACCTGTTACCTGTAACTTCTCTGTTTTTGAATAGAGAACGGACCAGGTTGGTGTAAACACCATGCATGCTCTCAAATGAAACATCTACTTTAGAAAACCCCATAGGTCCACAATACAGTGGTTCCCCTGGATTTCTTCAGGAGTTCCTCTGGACTTGAAGCTTTCTTCTAGCAGAATAACCTGGATAGCGATATCTCTAAAATACCAAGTTCTGTGTCACCCGCACTTGCTTTAATTTCCCCAGCTTCTAGTGTCAAATATCATCTACCTCCATACCGTCTCTCTTCTATTATCAGTTTCTGTCCCATAAGACAGTTGTTACAATTAACTCTTGTTTTCACTAACTCTTGTTTCAAAACATCCAGATGCTCCAGTTTCTTCACATGCTCTCCTTGGCTACCTCTATTTCCTCTTTCCTTGAGTAGAGATCAAGAATAGTAATTTTCCTCACTTAATCTTCTGGAGATGGTTGTTTTTCTCCCTACCTTCACTGTTAAGACAGACCATTGTCACCTTATTGCTTGCTCTTCTCCAAGGCACTTTAAAGGTAAATCATCTTTTCCCTGACCAGAAAGGACTGGAAGTCAGGTAGCAACTGATTTTAGTGTGTTTGCGTCTTATGCTCGGTGCAGTCTCCCTGGATCTGAAGAAATGTCAAACAGTTGTCTCATGACAGAGGGGCCCCAGAGATTTGCTTCCAAATGGCTTATGTTAGTATCCGTTAGTGAGGAACTAAGGTAGTGAGATGTTTCCTGCCCAGACCCCAGGCTTCTTTAATGGGAGAGCCTCACACCTTTAAGCTCTGATCTCTCTTTCCATGTTACCTTTATGTGAGGGCTCCAAAGACTCACTGTCTCACCACCCCCAAATTTTTCTCTCACCTTTATCCTCATACCCTCCCCTACCAGTCTTTCATCAGTTCTTCCCTCCCATCTTTGGCCCTTGCAACGCTATCAAAACACTTCAGCTTGCTTCACCCTACCTGTTTGCCATCTCTTTGATGAAACTAGACCAAATTCTTTAGTTAAGTCATCAAGCCTTCCTGTTCCAACTCCTTCATTCACTTCAGAATCCTTTGGATCCAGCCCCTTATTTCCTCTAGCAATGAAAAATGATGCACAGGGACTGTACAACTTCATTTTATTTTGTGTGCTTTTATAGGATATAAATAAATGACAAAATTACAAAATTTATAACTGGAAGCCCAAGCATATTTACATAAGTATTTGTTGCAGTGAGGCTACTATTTACTGTTCTCCTATACAATTTTCCTTTTGGTACCATATTTTTAGTGTTATTTTTTACTGTCAGTTGACTACGTACATATCAACAGTGAATAGGCAAAATATGTACAAGGAACTATTTTCTTCAAGTAAATTGAATACTGTATTAAAAGTATGTCATCACTCAGCGCTATAATTAGGTTTAACTAAACCATGTACAATTATCAGGTTTAAACCAAGTTCAGTTATCTTTTTTTTGGAATTCACTAACTGATTCTGACTGGAAACCTCAGCTGGATAGGAAATAATAATTAAAAAAAACATTAAGACAACCACACAATTTATCAATATCTCTATAATGAACTTCAAAATGATTCACAATTTGACTGGATAGAACAATATACGTTAAAATGTCATTTTTCTCCTATAGTGATATTTGTACTGTTATAATTCCAGTTCTACATAAATATACATCATGGTATTATACAAATACTCCACAGACATTAAAAAAATTAAAACACTTTAAAGAAAATGTAAGTAAATCTTATTTAATCAAATATTAAGCAAATGCTTAACTATTTTGTTTCATGAAAACATTTTATTACTTTGGAATTTTTTTATTTTTCTTGCTATTTTTACTTAGAAAATGTTTTGCAGTAGAATTTTATCAACACTCTTCCAAACCAGTTTCTTTGACAGAAATCTTGATAGCAAAATTGTTAGTTTTGATTTTTGTATTTAGAACCACTGAGATATTTTTTAAATGCTAGTAGGATTCATGGCTATAGCAATGTTGAATTGCATAAACTAGATGTAGGTGTAGTAGAATGACCATTCTACTTTCACTTCAGACTGATCACACAAAACATGTCGTGCACTGATGCAACGACTTATAATTGCCATAATGCTGCAATAGTAGTTTTTTAATTAACTTTAAAATAAACAATATTATTTCATAATTAATCTGGCTTCCTTTCCATAAATATTCCTATGTTTTCCTATATTACTTCTCTTCCATAAAAATATCTAATAAAAGAAATGTTCTCTGTGCATAATTAACACCTTTTTATAACCATTCATAAAACTCTGATCCTTTGTCGCAATGTAAGAGGCTTCTATTTCTGCAGAGGATCAAAGGACACCAATGATTACATATAAAACCAGCGCACATAGAAATCAGGGTACCTAATTTCTTGTCACTTTAATGAATTCTTTATTCAATACAGTAGTTATTAATGAATTCAGTGGTTTCACAAATGCTCTATTTATTAATTCTGGTTCAATTTCAATTAAAAACTGCCCAGATTTAAATAAAAAACCAATCAAATATTCTACTCAGAGGCAGCATTACCGTTAGTTTAGACCTTTTGTCTTTTAAAAAGTAGAATTCTAAAATAAGAAACCAAAGAAAGCACTGTGGCAGAGTCACAAGGGAGAACCGCAGGAAAAATAATTTTTCTCTCTCCTCTTGTAGACTGTAATTTGAAAAGTCCTCATGTAGTGTCATTCTTCTGTCAGTGCGGCAGGAAGAAGAACATCACCAGAAATGACTGTCAGCCTTTTTGTTAGTTACAAGGCCACTCTGACGGTGCAGTCTTCCTCTCTGCTGGATCGAAACGTTGCCATAAAGGAAAGGCTGTGCTGTGACTGCTTGGAGTGCAAGGCACAACAAGGAACAGGGGGTCAGTTTTGTATCAGAAAATTGTAGTTTCATACTTGGTATTAATGCCTCTTTTGGCTTCTTGTCCAGGTTCAACAATCCATGGTAGGTTTGCAAGAGTCTTTTGTTCGGATGGATCTATCTGCTTTAAAGCAAAGGCAAACAGACGGGTTACCATTTCTGTGAACAGCAATTCTAGTAGAAGCTTTTCTTTTAAACAAATTAATAGAATACAGAGCAAATCCTACATGAGTAGAGTCCCCTTTTAACATCTGCAGCAGTCAGCGCAGTGGTCGAAACACCTGTGTACCTGTGGTTGCCCCTCTTTCTGCTGTTTTCATCAGACCTGTGTCTACTCCCAAGTCTACAGGGCATCATAGTTAGTTAAAACTGTGTTTGAAGGTATCTTTGATTCTGAAAAGTCCTTTTAATGTTTAACGGCATCAGTAAACAGGAAATGTTCTTCCTTAAGTTTTTATGCATGAAGATTCTGGGGGGATGGATTACATAGTGTACAGTCATATGTTTTTTCCCCTCCTTCCTCTCATGCTATAATTAAGTATCACAGAGTAGGATTCTCATTTCATATCCAGTGATTATGATAGAGCATACAGTCATTTTTCCTCTTCCCCTCCCAAATCACACTGTGCCCATTGTCTCACTTGATGTAAAATAGTTATCATAATCTTTTGAAAAGTGCTGCCATAAAGTAGTATTTCTCCATCATTTATGCACTTCAGGATGGCATTTTAAATTGAGGCAATGAAGATGCTGGCTCCGACAATATGGGATTCTTGGGAATTTGAGATTCCAAAGAAAATATTGAAAAGGTAGGTTGAATCTTAGAGAAAGGACCGCTTAGAAACAAGTGGGTCTGCTGAAGCTCAAAAAAATAAAAAGGGCAAGAAATAAGTTGTTTGGTGAGACAAGAGGCTCATTGTATGTTGATTTGTATTTGTAATCTGACTAGGATTCATAGTTTGGCAATCTTATCTAAACCAAACTTCAGAATATGTGAGATACTGACTTGTGTATGATCATGTACCAGATCAGCTAAAAAGCTTTTAAGGGATGTCATCTCTCTAGTTATCTACAGATTTTATCTTATTACTAACTGCAGATATTTATGATAAGAATTTATATATTAAAACTAAGCATAAGATTTTCAGAAATAACTTCACACATGAATTAATGCATAAACGTGGTGCTGACTTTATTTCTTGATTCAATCTCAGGGAAGTCAATGGAACTGAACAGTTTCAGAAGCATGCACTGACTGTGATCTCCAGCACTTAACAAAGTGTAACACTGGAATTAGACTGAATCAACAAAAGCTGCAATAACTATAAAAGACAATGCATGGGACTAGCCAGGTGACTTCTTAAACTGAAAGAATCTGAAATGAGCAGATTTGCACATGGCTGATCATTCTGCAGTGATAAAACTCTGCTGACTTCGAGACTCAGCTGAGGTGGCACAGCTGAGACATGGACCATTTTGGACTGAACAGGTATATTCATTTACACAACTTTCCATATATAAACTCTTACTGTATAGTTGGATTTCTTTTTCTAGTCTTCTACTTTCTACTTACCACAGACTTCCGAATGCTAACGCGTGGTTTTGGAATAGGTTTGGAGGGTTTATTTTCAAAGCTTTCTGGAAGGGTTGAAGAATGGCCCCCTTTTCGTGCTTGTAGTGCCAGCTGGTAGGCCACCTCAAAAGCTTGTCCCAGTGTAAGAATGATCTCGTATGCTAAATTCTGGAGAGCAAAAAACAAAACCAGTAACATTTAAAATCAACATTAGGTTGAAGTGTTGTTAGGTACAAGAGCAGTAGTATTGCCTATAGCAGTGACTTTTTAATTTTAGTAATTAAAAACTCACCAGTGGTGACTTGCCAAGTTTCTACAATGTTTGACATTTCTCCCTTGATTTTTTATTGATCGAGGACAATCTAAATGTCATTTATTGTAGTGAAAATGATTATGTCTGAAGACTTTAAAGATTTTTTTTTCACTAAACATTGAAAGAGAAGTGGGTGGATGTCATCTCTTTTCAGAACAAGTACATGAATTCCCCATCCTCAGCTCACCCTATTTCCCTGCTCTCAGGGTATCACCATCTTACAGCACGGCACCCATTGATGTTCCACCCAGCTTTATTTCAAGCCTGCTCTGGGGTTGGCCCGTCCTCCTCCTCCAGATGGGCAGTTTGCTGCCCTGCTCCCGTCCCAGGTGCTCCAGAGCACCCTATGCCATGCTGCCATGGAAGAACCAAGTAAATGGACACCTCTGCAGCTCCATCATGGCATTTCCCAAAAGACAAATGTCAGAAGCGCACCCTCCACTTTGCAGACGTGCTGCACCTAGGCATGCCTGAAAATAAATGCTCCACCTTCTCACAGTTACGTCTTTTTTATTTTTTTAAAGACCCAAAAAAGATTGAGCTTAAGCTGGCATGCCAGAGTATACTTGTAAGCTTGAGGAGTTCATGTCTATTTCTGTGGAAGTCGGATTTTTCAAGAATAAAGCCAGTTTAATGGGCTTAAGAATACTTTAAATTCTTATTGAATATGTCAAAAAGAACCTGTTGAAAGCCTTACAAAACATAAATGTGGAACAAGAGAGTCAGTATGAACACTTTTTCTATGTAGCTTTGCATCATCTAAAAAGCAGCTGTGAGTTTCCAGTTTGACCAAAATCCAAATCACAAGTGAAATTCAATGGTATTTTTAAGGTTTGGAGTTTTGTTTTTGTATTTTTATTCACAGACTTCTACAAACTTTCCAAAAATATTTCAAAGCAGAGCAAATGCAAGCCTTCAAGGTTGTTTTATGTTGTGTCCTGCAGTGTCCCTAGAGTAATTCTTCAGTGTCTTAGATGTTTGCCCCCCCTTCCTGGGCATCTGTACTGGAAAACTGGAAGTCATTCTGTATTACTTTGAAACTATTAAAATTACTCTGAAACTTTTAAAATTCCCACATGCTCATGATTTAATTTCAGACGTTGCAGTTTTAAATCAAGGTTTCCTTTTAGCTAGTCAATTGAAAGTGTTGAGTTTTCAACAAGGCACAAAGCTATGCAGAACCTTTAGTAGTTAAACACAGCTAAAAGGATTAAGCACCTTATTTCATGCCATACACTGCATTTTCATTGTAGATGAAGAAAAAATCCATCCCATTGTTATCATACATGTGTAATTAGAAAGAATAGGCTCAATTCGGCAGATTTAGCTCATTATAAAATCTTCTTCAAAGCTTCTTACAAAGGTGCCAACTCTGGTCTGCGTTAGGTCAGGGACAAAAACAACTATATTTGTCTGCTGGGAAATGCTCAGCTGCTATGACTGCATTCATGACAGTGAGCGATCCAAAGCTTCACAGCTTTCCAAATTAAAATGTCTGCCTGATTTGATAGCAATAGTCTCCACATTGTCTCTCCCCTCTAACCTGGGGAAACTGTCCAGCCTTGGGAAACACTGAGAATGTGGTTTGCCAGTGGAGTCATAAATGAAAGGCTAAAGAGACTATGATGATAAATTGGTCTGCCTTTTAGCAAAGTACTGGTCGTGGAATTAAGAACAATTCAGTACAATTGATAAAAATGTTCAAAATAGTATTGTTTGAAATGGAGTATGCATTTTAAACAGCACAGGAATATTACTCCAGAGACATCTTAGTTTTCTGTCGTGATAACTGTAGCACCATGTGATTATCGACAGAGGATGCTGTTATTGACAGGGGATAACAGGACAGATGTTGTAATAATGGCCTGGATAAAAAACAGATTGCAGTGCTAGTGGGACTGACAGAAAGCACCATCCAGGGTGGCATACAAAAAGGTCTCTGGGAGACAGGTCTGAGAAATTATGCTATAAGAGTGGAAAAAAAGAGCAGATAATTTGCCATATAGAGACATAAGCAAGGTGGTGTGGAGCTCCTCTTGGGTCAGAATTTACTAGGATTTGTTTTCTTGTGTAGTCTGCAAAATGAAAAAAAAATAGGCATGTCTGGAGTCTGGTAACAACTGGAAACATACAAATGTTTCTGTGGTTAATAAATATTTTGAAATATAACATATTCTGAATGTAAACTGAAACAGAATATGTACACAAACTTCATACATTATGTACTACTGTAGAGCCTTGAAGAGGTGAAGTGTGCAAACAGAGGTAAGGAAGGCTTTAAAATTGTTTCCTTTGAAATGTAAAACAGGTATCTGCAACACTGTATTTTAAAAACAGAGAGAAGCAAATAAGTTTGTTTTGAGGTATTTCTCATGTGCAGTATGGGGCCAGGAAGATGAAGAATAGGGTTGCATGGTTTCTTATCAGGGCACTCTGGAGAGGTAAGAGAGGGATTCCATCAGGGTTTGGAGAGGAAAAGCAAAACTACAAAAATCACATTGGCAATTGCTCTGATGCTCCGAGGAGAATATTTGAATTTTTCACAGGACACAAAAAGGAGGAGAGAAACAGGTCTGTCTCCTGGACAGCTGAGCATCCCCTGATGATTGTGGAAGACGTTCAGCCCCACAGGCTCCTTGGGGAGCAAGCAAAGGAACCACAGCGCTTCTCAGCACTGCTGAGCTCCTCTCCCTCCCTCAGAGGAGAAAAGGGAGCAGCTCCTGCGAGCACCGATTTCTGAGAAATCTGTGTGAGAAACTGAGGTCAACTGCCCTGAGTGCAACGTACTGCCACGATTCAACGCCTCAGTGCCACTCCTGAGTGAGGAATCTTCTGCTACCATAACTCAGTCCATAACAATGGCTAATTGTTTTGTTGCATTTTAAGTGATTTAAGTGTATAAGATGCTATATAGTATCTGCAGGCACTGCTTCCTCATTATATTTTCATGCTTCTGTAAGGCAATGTTGCAGCTTCAAGAATATTCAAGACTGCTAATTTTTGTCTTTCATCTATAAAAACTAAAACATCACTTGTGAAGGATTTTTTGAGGAAAGCTAACATTTTTTTCCTCTTTTAAAATATGCTTTGGATATAATGAGGGCTGTACAGGTTTCTGCTTTTATTTAATGTTTTTTTTTTTTCCTTTAAATCATTGTCAAATCTAGTCCTTTTTGAAGGCTGAATTTACTAAAGAGACTTCCTTTGGGGTCTCACAGATGATTAATGTGAGCTCACTACCACATCCAATGTGTGGGAATATCAGTTAGAACTGTTTTCAAGGTACTGAACCTAAAATCGCTGTTGGAAAAAAACAAATAGAACAGGGTGGATGGAATCTTAATAGGACAAATCTAAAAAACCCAGTCCAGTTCAAATTCCAGTTTCCTGGGATGCAACCATTTGTCTAAATTCTTAGTTGTAACAGAGTCTTCAAGTCCAAAGAATGAGGGTTTCTACTACAAAAGCCCAACAGGACAAATTACTGTGAACTGGAGTTCTTTGAGATGTGTAGCTGACATGCATATACATTTATACAGTAAAAGTGCTTTATTCCTCCAGACCAGAAAACATTTTCTGGGGTTTCTGGAAAGGACATGCATTTGTCTGTCCTCTCCAATGTATGAAGTTTTGAGCATTCAAGGGAGAAAGATGTACGAAGGGATCGTGTCTATCATTTGTTTGTAGGAGCTATGGACTCCTGGGTTGCATGAGACTTTCATGAACAGATAGTCCTGCAACTTAAATTCCTGATGCATTCTCCATCTGGTTTTACAACAGTGGCAGATGACACACTTCTGAATCCATGCCTGCCCTCAACTGTAGCACAGAAAGTGATTTTTTATGCAACAGGAGGACAGAATCAAGCCTTTACAGTGGGCCTTTGAGGCCACTGAACAAGCCATTGATGGAGACTAGACATATAGGAAGGCATCATTTGCCTGTGAGCTGAAGATTCACTGTAGCTGAGTGTGCTCCATCTCAAGGAGGTTGCTGGAGAGAACAGAAATGTCTTTATACATGCTCTGTCTTATATGCCCCAGAAATGGTAGCATCTGAGCATACTTTCTGTGGCTGCAAGGGAGAGAAGTCGTCTGCTCTGTCATGGTGGGGATGCCACACTATCCCACCTGGAGGAACATGCGCAGACAGACGAGTTTTTTCAACAGTTTAAAGTTCCCAATCTACTGGAAGAAGACAATGAAAAGAAGTTTTCAGACTTGAAGGCATGTACTTTTCCTTCTCTGTTAAATATGCATAGTAGCAGTTCCTAATTCTCTTATGCAGCATAAATCTGTGCAATGACAGACAGAAGGATACATAGAAGAAAAGTCTTTGTGTTATACAGATCACCAGTCTAGCCCTTGACTTGAACAGGAGCATAAGTTGTTCCAATTTATGCCAGCTGTGTTCTATTCATAGGTGTGTTGGGCAGTGAGGAAATACCTGATCAAAATTACTTTGGACATGTCTCATATGTGAACTGGAGTTTGGTGCAGGAACTGGTAGGACAGTTTGTTTATCCAGAGGAAGTCCTTCACTGGTAGTTTTAGACCTGCTTTAGACAAATAAATGAGAGTGGATTTCAAATATTTACCAGTAAATCTTCTTTCCTCAATCCTCTTTCTCTTAAATATTATTGAAGCCTGACATTTTTGGAATTTGATTATAGAATTACAACTCTGAATTAGGGAAGTTAAATGTACAGTCATTGAACCGTTTCTCTTAGCAAACTGAAAGATCAGTCTACATAAAAGTGTAAGACTTTAGTAAAAAATCTAATCTACTGGATGTTTATGCTCTGAATTTCCAACTGTTTTTCATGGAGCTTGGACTTACATCAGAAATGCTAGATGCTGAGAAATAAAACAACATACAAAAGAGCATATTTGAGTAGGCAACACCCCACTGAGGATTATCTAGCACAAGAACACTACATTAAGACATTAAACTATCAGTATTGCTTAAATTAACTATTAAGATTGCTTGGGGGTATTAAATGCTATTCATAAGGTATGCTACTGAGAAAAATGTTAAAATTATTCCAATCACTACTCTTTACTTGCCAAGGAAGGACCTATACCCATACCTGGGTCTATGTTTGTGTGTGGTTATTAGCCATCTAATGAAATTACAATATTACCTGAGTCAAATTAGGTTATTATTTCTTCTGATACATTTAAATATTCCTTAGTAGTTTCATTCAGTCTCATTTTAACTGCTTCATTTTTCACAAATATCTATATAACATCTTGCTGACTGAGGCCTATAAACTTTTAATGCAATTTAAATGTAAGAACTCAAAAAAAAAAATCTAAAATTCCTTCTAACCTACACTCCAGAATATTTATTACTTAAATTCTCCTATATGTCATCACTCTGCAGTGTTAATTCCCTAGTCACAAATAAAAAGCCTTTGTTCAAATACCTCTTTTATTTTTGATCTAACATTAATATTCATGTAAGCATGTTTCAAGAAATCACACATTGTACTACATTAAAATATTTCAAAGTTTCAATATTATTTTAAATTTATCTTGTGTTTCACTCAAATGATATTAGGCAAGAATTCACAAACTTTTTGGACAATCAGTCCTCTTAGCTTTAAAATTTAGAGCCTTAAGCCATTTCAACAAATTTAATTGGGAACCCTATGATCGATTAACTGACATGTGCTCATGGTTTCTTGAGACACTAGTAGTCTGTGTAGGATCATTTGAGAAAGATAAATGTAAGATGAACATAGTCATTTTCTACTAAAACAGCAGCACAGTTAAGGATTTTTGCTGCAATAATATTTCTTATATTTTTAAGGAAAGAGGGTTGAAACAAGAAAGCAAGAATTGTAGCTTGAACTTGCTGTTTCCAAAAAAACCCACAACCTATTTTCAAAAGGCAAAGGTGCTGCTAAAATAAAATTTGCCCGAATTCCTCATCTGCATTATTTGTTAAGCCAAAACTCCCACTGACATGGGAGTTCACAGAGCAGAAGAGAGAGGCCACCCAAAAATATACTGTTATTATTTACAGGGGTGTCTTTTATACAAAAACATATAGATGACAACATTCCACACAGATCTCTTCAGATGTTTCAAATGTCTTGAGATTCACTCTGGTAATAAAATATCTCTAGGACTTCTTGACGTACGTTATTAGCTATCTGTGTGCTATTGTCTTTGAAAAATCTATGTATATTTCACTTCTCTGTTTAAAATATATACGATATAGTTAATACAGGTTTTTTCATATATTCTCTATATTTTTGTAGAGGCAGTTTCATACCATTAGATTTTCAGTTTATTCAACACAATATCAAAAACTCTAAACAAAGCATTTTGGAAGATGTTTTGTACTAAACTTGTATTTTAACGTCTTGCAAGACAATTGCTTGTACTTTAGGTTAGAAAAAATCTGTCAAGGCCTTTATAGAAAGCTACTTGCTAATTTACAGTCAACAACTGAGACTACAGAATTTTTTTCAGATGGGAAATGAGCTGATACCACAGAAAATATTTGCTTTTCTCTCAAAACATCCTGTTACCATTCATATCAGATTAGTCTTTCTGTGTGCTAAATGAATGATACCTTCCATTAACCAGCATGTACCCGGAAAATGTTTTAACAGCAACAGTGATTCACAAACAGCTATTAAATAAGTATCTTTTATAAACTGACCACATCAAACGCAGTGAATACATGGCAGTAGTGGTGATTAGTCTTCAAGTCTTTAGTGATGTACGCAAATGTAGAAAGGTCTTCAGGGTCTTGTGCAGCACAGGAAATGTTACGGATTTCATGTTCAGCAATAATATTCTGTTTAAAAAAGATATTTTCAATCAATTTAGGAATTCAATGTAGTAGAGTTTTAAAAGCTGTGTTTTCAGATTTGCCTTTATGTTTAGCTGCTGTGCTTAAGTACCTCGTAACTTCCTTTATAAGAAGAGATTTAACACGCTTCATGAGTGATCGTCTTACACAAATCACTAAAATTGTGACCCTCTCCAATGAGCGCTCCAATTGATGACAATCTGGTAGAAAACTACTATGCTCTAAAGTCTTCCTGCCTGTCTTTCAAATTATGGTTTTGCACAGTTTATTCAGCATCCTGTGACAGGGAGGCACATTGCCTAGCACACAGCTGTAACTACTATTTCAAAACACTCTATTGGCATCTTCTGATGCTGCTGGTTTTGTGTCTAGTAAGCACCGCCTCATACTCTTTGGGTCTACTGATAGGATCTGGTAAAACCCTACAGGCTCAATATTCAAGCATTTGCACATGGTACTGGAAGAAAGGCTATAGTCTTTCAAGCAAGAAACATTCCTTATAATTTCAGTTACAATTGAAATCCTCTTCAAAGGTTTCTGTTTGGTAAAAAAAGCACTACGGAAGGATATGGCGGTTTTCCTTCACTTACTGACAACACAGTCCTGTAAGAGAGATTGGAGAAAATTATCAATATTCATTACATATAATACTGATATGTAGTTATTGTGTTTAGGCCAAAGGAACCATGAAGCCAGAGAGAAGAAACTGAACAGTGGCTTATGATTAGGCCTTGATTCAGCAACACCTGCATTTAAAATGACTTATTTAAATTGAAGAATGATTCATTGAATATGAATTTCCTTGGAGGTTAGCTTATACACTTCTCTGAATTGTGGCCTTGCTGACTGTAGCTATCACTTTTCCCCTAAAAGCAAAGAGAACGAGTCTGCTGCAGTGTGACATCTCTGTTGCACCAAAGAACACAGGACATCTGTGGTGCCACCATCCCTGAGAGCTCTGATTTGCTCTTGCCTTCGTGGCATCTGTTCAAATTAAAACAATCTCTGAATATCTCTGTTTTACCCCTACACCTGTCTTTTCTTTCCCACCTTCTCTCTCCTCCCCCTCTTTTTTTTTTTTTTCTTAAGAAAAGGAAATATATGCAACTAAGTCAGTTAAGATGCCGTCACTGTATCTTCCTTCATTTGCTAAGCGGCAACTTTCCCCTTTGTATGTAGGTGTCAAGTTTGCCGAAAGACATACTAATACTTAACTGAAAAAACAATGGCTTAGGAAAATCTTTAAAAAAACATTCTGTATTTCCAATTGTGGTAATACCAAGATAAGGAAACTCTTACTGAGGACATGAAATAACCCTCATAATCTTAAATTGTTGCAACATATTTGATTATTTCTGTATATGGGATTATTCATATAAATGACAAAGCTAGTACTTATCTTTCAATGGTGCCAATGGATGCCAAAGATACTTACACTCTCTGCTTAACAATCTTTTTTTAATGTTACTTTAAGCAATTTATTTTCTTTTGTTCTCCTTGATAACTTTTACCATCAATAACGATTTTGATGAGAATTACAAGTTTTCCAAAACCAGGGATTTAGATATCCACGGATATAGCTGTGGATCATTGATGTTGTGTTTGTAATCATTGATGTTGTGTTTGTAAAGGGGAGAAAAAATAAAGTTTGGAAGGTTTTAAAATCCTACTAAATATTTATGCCAATAAAATTGGCATAAAGTCCACAAGGAGCCACGGAGTAGTCAACCTATTTTATACAGTGCATTTGGAGAAAGCTCAGCTATGTTGAAAGGTTTCCTAAGTGATCAGTCGAAGGAAACAACATTTTGTACTTTAGTCATAACTCATACAGGTCATTTTAATGTTTTAATTTTGAATAATATGAAGTTTGGAAACATACCTATATCAAGTTTGTTTTAAATAAAATAAAGTCCAGTTAAAATTAATTTGTGGTTGAAAACTAGTAGAGAAATTGAGCATTTTTCCCTAGCTTCTGTGCAAAATGCTCTGTGAACTCCATGCGTGCTGTTACTGCTTCCTAAGGTCACTACTCCAGGAGAACCATAGTCTGGTTCATAGTTTCCTGTAGAAATGAAAAGGCTTTGAACTGCTTTGTTGTTCTGGGTACTCTTCTTAGGCATTGATCAGCAATGTAAGACCAGTTTAGAGCATTCTAAAAATCATCACCCATTTTGTCAAGAGGAACCTCCAGAGCTTCTGAAACAGCAAGGAAGGCAAAAACCAGGTTTGGTTCTGCCAAGGAAATACCTTTCAGAGTCCAAAATTTTGGTAAGCAGCCTACACCACTTGCCTACATTGCATCAGACGCCCTCTCTTCTGGCAGGAGCAGCCCAGAAGTTAGGGTTACATGTCAGCAAGAGAAAATTCCAAATACCCGCTTTTTCTAGGCAGCAATTTCTTTCTGGCCCCAATCGCAAAGAAATGGTATGTCATGTCCAAGTGGTGTCATGCCAAGCTTCAAGGTGTCACTCAAACAGCTTTAGTGGAAGGAGGTCAGAACCTCATGTTACCTGAAGCTTCGCCTGTTGTAATGCGGAATACAAATTCTTAGCTTGGTAGCATGAAGTAAAAGGATGAACAGCCATGAGAGCTGAGTTTTCAAGCACGGACCTGCTAGCTATTTTTGTCATTAAAAAGTAAGCATTCACTGAGAAGTGGTGCCCAGTGCTGTCAACTATAAGCTCATATGGAAGCAGAACAGGTCTGAACAGGAGCTCACCTTAGTGCTAATCTGTTTTGGGTCTCGAAGGAATTAGGTACAGCACACTGTGGACAGGGATGATAACAATGCTCCGGGGACAGTTGCGGACTATTACCTGGTTTTTACAGGAGGGAAAGGCAGTGCAGATTTTGAACTGAAGAGAAAGCAATCTACCACTTGTGAAACAACACAGGACTGTGGCATTACGTAATGTCATCAAATACCTCTATTGCACTAGCAGGTACAAGCTCAGTGGGACAAGCCTAGGGCTACCTAACACAACTTAAACTTCCTTTAAGCTTCCTTCTCATACAAGAGTCTATGCACTGAGCCTAAGGCTACCTAACACAACTTGCCAGGCTTCCTTTAAGTTTCCTTCTCATACAAGAGTCTATGCACTATAGAAAGAGATGCTGGAAGCTCCTTTTGTTCTCTTAAATTTTTTTTAAACCTAAGGACATGACAGTTATGTCCTTTACACTACAGAGGAGATTTAAGAGCTGAAGACAGCCTTGTCCAAGGTAGAGTTAATAACATTACAATGTCCTGATTTATGCCTGGCACATCAGAGAACGTGTAGGAAATGAGGGCTATAGAAGCTCAATTTTGAATCAATAAAAGAAAAAGGAGCTGACAGGAATCCCTGGCCTGTCTGCTCTAGCAAAGAGGTCAGACTTGGCATAATGGTAATTTCACCTCTGTTTTCCTTTTACACCATTTTCTAACCCTAGAAATGCAAAAGATCACAAATCCGCTTTTGTTCCCTCACTTGAAACCCAGTTCTAATTAAGCACCTTTATAAACTGATTGATATAGCAAGTTTGAAGGATAGTGAGTTAGATGCACTGTGTGGTCTGAACGTTCAGCGACATAAAGCTATTATATATATCATTAAACTGGCGAGGTAACTGGATAGTCTAATTTATGTTTTATATTGCTTAGCAAATTTTAGTCACATATCAGAAAGAGTAATTTCTATTCAGGTGCAAGCATCAGTGTAGATTGCATTTTCTTGCCACCTTAGATCCTAGAAGAAATTTGTGTATTATTTTACTACTGCTTACAAAGCTTCTACATTTTATTTTAGATGAAAATATCCCATTGTCCCACCCATCTCTAAGTTGTCCCATCTTTTAATTTCTGCCTTAAAAAAAGAAAACAAGATGTTGGATTCATTTTAAAATGTAAAAAAAAAGAAAAAACAGGGCAGTGTTGTACAATAAAATGCGAAAAAAAAAAAGAAAAAAGAATCACAACTGTTAAGCTGTCACAGTTCCAGGCTTCAAATATCCAGTACCAGGAAAATACCTCTGAGAGAGACATTGAACATTCGAAAAGGACCTTCAAGCCTCATGTTTCTTATGCCTGCTAATGACTGGCCCTGAATAAAAGCTTGCAACACTATTATTTGTGGAGAAATCTTTATGTTTTAAAATTTTTAAAAATGCGTTGACGGAAAAAAACATCTGTACTTTCTGCAGTCTTAAGGACTTGTGTAGGACAGACTACGCTAACAGATTCCATAGAAGCCCCTTGCCAATTGTCTTTAGTGATGAGCTGCCCTTTAATGGCAGAAGGTTGGACACAGTGTTCTCCAAATGAGCCATCAAAGCTGCTTCACTTGTCCACCAGAATGAGCTTCTGGAGAGTGACACTCAGATTATATCCATTTGAGAAAGAAGAGGGGAAAAAGCAAGAAAACACAAAGTGCAAACATGGTGCTCTTATAGAGCCAGCCTTGTACACACCCCTATTGCTTAAGAACAGAAGCTATTATTCAGCAAATACACATACCTTATTTGTGGCATCAATAAATTTGACGCCCTTGTAAGAGACAGACAGAACAATAGTTGGAACTTTCTTCATTTGTTCTGTAGACTTCTGAAACGAAATGAAGACCTTATTAGATTTGTTTGTGTTGCATTACCAGAACAGTACTCTTTTGTTTTTCTTCTTCTTCTGATAAAAATACACGAGTTAAAAGGTACTTATATCAATATTTGTCTTTTTTTCTTATTTTGGCTGTTCTCTGGGCTTTTGAAATAGCTGCCTTATAGTTATTCAACTAAAAAGACCTTCACAGTTTGTTGAAAAGGAGGTAAAAAATCATGGGAAACGAACGAAATCATTCTGGCAAATTTACTTTAAAAAGACAGTCAAGTAATCAGAGTTTTCCCTAAATATTTAAGTATTCAAACATCTATCTCATATGCCCTGCTTCACCTCCCCTCTCTTTATAGCTGCCCTCCCCAGCTATACAGACTGAGAATATCTTACTTTTCGTTGCTGTGATTAGTTTTGTTTTAGAAATATTTCACTCCATCTCTTTTACTATTGCAATTTTGTTTGTGACCTGAGACATCCCTGCAGCTGTTTAGGGCTGTCAGTCTAATGGTGCATCTTGTACTGCCTCACTGTCTGCACTTCCTTGCACATACGTCCTCCTGGCATCTGCTCTACACAGGAATTAGCACAGAGGTTTACTCTGAATGCACTCAGTGCCAGGCTCTCTTCTTTGCGTCTTCTTAGAAGTCTATTATTTTTCTTTCATATGCAATCCTACTTCAGTGTGCCTTCATTGCAGCGTTATTCACTGCTACGATATTGCCTGTCAAGCAGTTCAGGCAAATATTGGAGGAAGCTTTACATTGTTTGAAGAAAACCGTCTGGTTAGCTTACAGTTTGAATTTAGGAAAAACAAACAATCAAACAAAAAACCCATGACACAATAGTTTATAGCTGATTTGATTTTTTTTAAAGTGGAATGCAATGAGGTACAAGATTGTTCAATAACACAGCTATGGTAGATAAGTAATGGAGCTAGAGTTTAGCGAACACTAACTAGTTCTGCATCACAGAGAACAAGCATTTCCTTGAGTAAAAAGCTACAGTTAAATATGAAGAAACAGCATGCAGAATGAGCATGCAGGCACAGTGCAAGGTCTATAAAGTGCAGTCTGGAAAGATCATGATAGCAGCTGATCATTATAGAAGTTGAAAAGTAGCAGCAGAATTCTTTATATTCTTAAAAAGACATAAAAATAGCACAGACATAAACTTGAAAAGAGGCGCTATCCTGGAGAAAAAAGAAAGGCTAATGCTAGAGAGCAAATAAACAAAAGCTTAAAACACGAAAACTGTAATCAATTTTCCTAATCAGATCTTTTTCCTTCCAGATTCACATGAGATTGCATTTTTGCCAGCATCAAATTAAAAGCTACCTACCAAAGTGCATTCTGCAATTCATGCCCTGAAGGTTAAAACCTCTAAATAACTTCCAAAGACAGGCACACCTGTCGATGTAATATGAATGTTACATTTCTCAGCAGGAGATGGCAGGAGGCTCAAGAAGACACTCAAGGATCAATTTATCCAATTTTTAAGGTTCTTTTATACAGAAGACTAGATACTTTAAAAAAAAAACAAAACTTGAGGGAAAACACTGATTTGATTCGTATGTCTCTGAGCTGGATGGAAAAGAAATAGTATCCTTGTCAAATGCAGAGCAAGTAGAAACATATGTCTGTGCTCGTGCATGTGCCTCTACAATAGATTTCAAATGACACTTTTCATAAAATCCAGTTTCAGTGCACAGAAAGCACAACAATGACTGTACGGAAGATGCAGTACGAACAACCATCAGAATAACAAGCAACACACCCCGCATATGCTCACATCCAGACATAATATTCACAAATATGACAACATCGCTTTAATCATCTGGCAACCCCACAATCATCCAACTTTTCTCCTTTCTTTCTAGCCCGACAGCTACATTCAGGAGCTCTTTATCTCCCATTTTGATTATTGTAATTACCCTCTTTCTTGCTTCCTTAGGAGTAAAATTCCTCTTTTCCTCCCATACTGTATACAAATGTGGCTACTAAGTTAAATGATTTTGCTTTCTGGTCCAGTTTGCACCATCTTCCATTTGCCATAAATGGGAAGCACTGAGATGGCAGTGCTATGGCATATTAAACATCTAAGGGTCTACTGTTATGTAGTCCATTATTCTGTGCATTAGACAACTTATATTTACCATATTTTATATTTACCAATTTGTTTAAGTAGACCTGATCTCTGGTATTTAATCTAGATTGTGACTTGCCAGAAGAGTGTGTCTGAGTGAAATTGCTCACCAAGATACTATTGAATTATATCTGGTAAATTAGGAGATGAATCAGAAACTGATGGGCTTTTGTAGTTTATTAAGTCAAACAAATTAAGTCAGCTGGTAAGGAACGATGAACGTGCCTTATTAGCTTGCAAACCACACACACAGAAAGTATTTGTGCAAGAGTCCAGTGTAGAAACATGGTTTTGGAAAACAGTTCTGCACTTGTAGCTCTCTTGGCCCAAGCAATGCGGCACTGAGATACCCTTGATAAAAGATAGTTATGAAGAACAGCCATCCATGTTCCACCCAACAACCTATTCTCCCCTTCTTCACTCCCAAGAACATAAGTCCTGAAGTCTACTATATAATTACAAAGATCCTAGCAGTTTCCAGATTTCGGCGTTTTTAAGCCGTCATGGTTGAACTTGTTCATTTCTTTTTAATAACACAGTTGACTGCAACAGGATCTGTAACATGAGTTTTCAGAGATACAATATGAACACCATATATTTAGGCACTGTAAATGCTTTGGCTCTAACTTCTAGGATGTTGACATAAAGTAGCAGAGCTTTCATGGTCAGACATTTTGCACTTCTGTGCAGGCAAAGTGGTCATCACTACCTGTGCCTGCAATGAAAATCTGCAAGCAAGGTGGGATACAGGAGTCAATACTTCATTTCCTTGTGTTTTCCATATTCTAGCCACTGTATCAACCCTGTGAATACATGATGAGATGACAAAATATTCTGGTCCATCTGTCGTGTCTTTGGGGAGCATATGGAACTCAGCTAAAGCTCACTAACTTGAAACTCATCAAAGTTCCTATGAAATCCATTGTCTGTGACTGTAGCTTTGTCTCTTTATTTTAGTTCTTTAGAAGAATCATCTGGATGAACTGTAAGCATATTCCAGGCTCATTGCCACTGCTTGTCTCTGATCAGTTGGTCATCTGCATAAGGACAGATGTGCATGTCCTGTCTCCTCAAGTTGTCTCCTCAAGTTCTAAGAGGGAGGACTCCTAACACAGCACAGAGTCTGGGTGGCACAGAGAAAGAGATTTGGTCCCACCACTGAAATACTTTCTATGACACAAGTAGATGACTATGTAAATATGCCGTGTAACCTAGGAACCATGAAGCAGGCTTGACTGCAGACATGGGAAGACAGGGGAAAGTGCTGCCACCCTAAACTCAACATGACATTTGTTCAGCTTCCTTCAGACCTCAAACAAACCATAGAGTCCTTTTATTTGGCTCAAAATAAAGAATATTGGGAATAACTGCCTCTACCAATATTTGAAGTATGACTCCTGTGAGGAAACTGCTTCTTTTAGCAACAGATTCTCAGGAGGAAAAAGAATATTTTTGAAAAGAATAAGAAGAGTGAGTGAAAAATGAATAGGGCAGTTATGGATACCAGCAGAGTGATTCTTGAAGGTTAGTTGCAGGCTTTTAAATTACTCTAATAAGGCTCTTGGTGCCCCACTGAACTGGCTCTGCTACTCACCAAATAATATGAAAAAACATAGAAGAGGCCTCTACTAATTCAGTATTCCTGCAAGGTAAGTGGAAAGCACCAGGGCGTCTGATTTTCTTCCTTCTCTCTAGTCAGCTTCTATACAAAAGTTTGTTTTCTGCTTTGGTACTTAAGAGTTAATCCATCAGAACCACCCCCCTAAACAAGCACCTGGCTCAATGCTGTTTTAATAGGTGCCTTCACCCACTCAATGTTCAGAAGAGAGATCCAGTTCTGTGGAAGGAGGTGGGAGACGTCTTCTGCATAACTTATTACAGCGCTTGCTCCAAAAGTAAAGGTCTGGATTTCAAACTTTTCTGAGTTTGCATCTGAATCCACTGTTCATGTTATGCAGGACAGTGCCAAAACCTTGTATAGCCCTGGACAGGGCTGCTCCCACTTTCTCCTTTTGAACCTCGTCCATCATGCAGAAAAGGGATGCAAAAGCAGTGGAGTCAGAGGGAGAGAGAGCACAAACTCAGTAGCATGAATTGTTCTAAGCCAGGATTTCCACCTGTAAATAAATATAGGTGCATTTCCACCTGCATTTTGTTTTTCACCTAAACAACTGACACTTCTGTAACAGCCTTTAATTAGAACATAAACTAAACTCCAAATAATTTCATTTGAGACCCTCCAAGCCATTGTACCGACCAAAGCCTAATGATGGCTTAAGAGGCAGGGGACTTTGTTTTTGAATAAAGAAAAATAAACTAGCTATTTACTCTTAAAAAATGAAATACATGCATATACAAAACATATAACCCTTAAGTGCCTTTAATCCTTTCACGATAGGATTGTACCTCAATATTTGTTCTGTGCTGAACTAAGAATACTAATCCTGATTAGCACTTTTGAACATTGCTGTGGTATATAAAATATGAGAGCTCTGTGTATGTATATACACACAAAACAGCTAAAGAGGAAATTTGGAAGTAGGCAGAATGGCATCCACATAAGGTGTTCATGCATTTATTTGATATACTGTAACATATGGCATAATCCAGGCCACTCTCAAAATGTTTTCACTTCATCTCATCATTTCACACAGGAGGAAACAGGGCAACTTGTACTTCTGCTTTGTCATTTTGACCACTTTCATGTACTTATACACCTGTTAGTACATTCATAATTACTCAGATTACTCAGATTTTATTCAGTGGCCAAAAGGAAACCATATTCTTATTTATTTATTTTTTACTTCTTTTGTAATTACACTTGATCTTCTGAACACACAGTGAGAAGACAT